TGTATATATGTACCTAAATGTTATCTGCCTTAGCATAATGAGTACAACTTACAGCCTGTATAACATACTATTTTTAGATGGATGATAACAATTTTGAGACTAGTACATAGAAAAAGCTGTGCACATACAGGCACAGTTTTCAATAGAGATTCGTGTAAACTTGAAATAGTACTTATTGAATATCATATATACAGATGGAAATAAAATGGTTACACAAACTACTAAAACACATATTTAAAACATACAAATACTGATAGTGTTGAATTTAGAGAGGACTCGATACATGTATTTCTAATTTGTGTCAAAATGGCCATTATTCTTTTTAAAAATAGATCATCTAACATATTATTTTTTACTTTCAACTATAGTTGTTGTGTCTAGCAAATTATTAACCATTATGTTACCCCCTCTATAGGTGGTATTGATAACTGTGTGAAATTATGGGATGTCAATAAGGTATTTGGAGAAGTTGATACAGATGAAATCACAAATACTACACATATAACACTGTAAGTTTTATTTTTTTCTTCATTATATAGCTAGAACGACTTGTATTATGATATCTCATTTGTTCTTCCATGTATAGCTTTCATGTAATCTGTCATAATTTGCTCATTTATCATATTTATACTTTTTCAACATGTTGACATTGTACATTTGCATTGGGAATTATAACTTCCACACTTGGGATTTTATAATCCACTCATAACAATCGCAAACATTATTGCTTATCTTCTATGATAGCTTATTTTTAAAAAAAACAAACAATAAATTGTTACGATTCGACTGCCTCAGTATTATATGACTATATTATTGTGCACAATATGCAATAAACACTTGGTGAAGTATGCATTATTTAATTAGCAAGATTGTGTGAATTTCGATATAATTGTCATGTTTGTTAATGGTGTTGCCACAAATCCTGGTGCTGTTTTAATCAGGAAATTGTCTCATTGCATGTATCAAGGTCTGTGAGAACATTTGTAGTACATGTACATGATAAAAGAGCTATTTCGTTAGAGGGCTTCAATCACATTGGTGGATGAACATCAGGCGTTTATTGATGAATCTATTCTTGTTATATTTCAGATCTGAGAACACAAACTATTTATTTGGCTCCTATCCTAGTAAGAGTACACCAATTCACCACCTGCATTTCACACGCAGGAATCTATTACTGGCAACTGGACCTTTTGTCATTTGATAGTAACAAGTAATGTCTGTAAGCAGATGGGATAGTGTTACTGCTCTTGCTGATATTCCATGTTCATGTATATAGGAATGAGCTTTGCATATTTATATTTCTCATACAGACCACTGGCTTCTCTATATGTAACTTATATAGTTACGTATTATGTGCAGTATTCGCTGGAATCAAACTTCCAGCAAATTTGTCATTTTTTTAGTTTCGACGTAAAACTACTTAAAAAAATTGTGCCTGATTGGCTACCCAACCCTGTCAGTCAGACCAATCAGAGAGCAGCTTTTTTGTTGAATGTTCTTTTTTTTTGACATATCAAATTCTGCCTTGTATATATGCCTCAACTCCACTTTTTGATAGGACGATGCATTCTATCTTAACACCAAATTTAAACTTCAGCTATTTTTGAAGTTTTCGGTTTTGTATTCCCATAACTTTGACTGACTGACATGACTGACCTAAATGCTAGACACAAGCAATTGTCTGGTCCTTTGATGTATATATGTTTGATTGCGATACAAAGCAATAAACAAAGTATTTTTATCCTACAAATGTGTATTTCTGTTTGATTTAAATGTATGAAACAAATAGGATATTATATAATTTCCATAGCTTAATAATAACAAATAGGTTTCCATATTTAATTGTACTTGTAAGATTTACACAAAATATCATTAAAAATGTGCATATATCAGACAGGGATACCATAATTTGTCCCGATATTATAAATATTAAGTCAAATTGGAAAATTAAAGCACAGTATGAGATGCGCTTGAATGCATCTATCTGTAATGCTAAATTGAAGAAACATTGAAATGTGTGGTTGCCATGGAAGCCTTAAGCTTAAGGGTAGATGTAAGGTTTTGTCTTTCACATCATACAATGTAAACACAAATCACTGCTTTTGACTTAGTCTCTTCTGTGTACAGGCTTATGAGAAATTGAGATGAAGTGATTTTTCGGATAGCTCTCGAGTTACCATCGTTTTGTCTACATTACATGATAGATGTTTGACATATTGCAGGTGTTTCAAATGTACCTACTGATTTTACCAGTCATAATCTTGCAAAATTTTCAGATCAATCTTATTAAATTACAATGATGAGCTGGAGAGTTGTGTAGTTTGTATGCTAACTGTTAGTGGAGTTATTGAGAAGTCTGTAAATATGCCCTTCACGAGTCATGTAGCCTGGCTTGTCATTCAGCAGGTTTGCTTAGACATACTCATCCACACCCAATTCAAGGAAATTGGTTAAAATTAAAGATGGAAATAATTATTATCTCCTGGCGCATGGTACTGGTGGGGGATATAGTGGTTACTAGCATCCTTTCGTATGTCCACATAAAGTCGTATTGCAGAGAGACAATATTGTAAAATGATTTTCACTGAGTTTAAATTTCGCTAATTAACCATTTCAGGCATATTCAGTGGGATTTAAATTCACGGTTTTATCATTTAGATATACTACTTTTTGTCTGGTCCCCATTGTTCTATGTTTCTTACTTTCGTTAGCGGACAGTTTCAACCTAATTAATTATGCATTCCTGTTAACGGTACTGTTTTATCAATGAATTAACAAGCCGGGACTGCGAATAATGAATGGGTTAATTTAAATATTCATGAGCACAACAGGAGTGGAAAGCTGATTAACATAACAGGTGGCCACTGAATGAAAACAAAGTGGAATTTTCATTTAATTATTTAAATACGCAATGACGATTATACGATACATTTTAAAAACGTATTTCAGGTTTCATATTTCCTTTTACAAAATTCACGGACACTTGGGAAGATTGGCGATTGGCTAGAGCTTTTCAACACGTCTGTTATAGCCAATGAGCACGGCTGATAATTGCGGTTGACTACACCTGGTTTAGAATTGCGATTTACACAATAGCGCTGTAAACATCCGCCATGACCACAGGATTTAAAATAAGCCGTGCAAAACTCGTCAAATTCGCAGTATAACTTCGTTATACTACCCCTCCTCGTAGATAAACGGGAAATAGCGGCTCCAAATCTACGAGGAAGGGTAGTATAACTATCCGATAATGTGTTCTATGCTAAATGTTACATATTCACTGGGTTTTAATTTAGCGCATTTTCCAGTCAGCGAATTAAGCAAAATTTAAACCCAGTGAATAATTAACCCTTTTACAGTAACACAGTGTTAGACATTGCACACATTATCTGATTAACATATTCAATGTCCATATATGTTCATGTGAACTCATTAAAAATGCATAAATATAATATCCGGAACAACCAGTAAAATGGATGCCGGAAATGTACCGTCTCTGATGGTCTACTTGTTTTGAAGATGTAGATAGATCAATTCAGTCAGTGCTTTATTCAAGACTGCACACTAGATCTGACCAACATATTTAGGGACCATATATAATATCATGTGACCTCATTAAATATGTATGAATATATCTGGATCACTATTTCAGATGGGGGCATTCAACATTTTATTTATTGAAGACATTGTATCCTACATCTGATCATCATTTGATATCAATATCATCATGTAGTATCATATTACAATATTAAGCATAGTATGTTTCGTACATATTACTTAAATACATTTTAAACAACATGGCAGTTTCTGCTGTTTTTGTTCTCTCTGTCATTTTTTTTTCGTTCAAGCAATGCGACATTTGAGAGCTAATACACTATCGTGGCTATATTCATCTCAACGAGATCTTGGCGGCCATGCATGTCCAATTGCTTTCAATTCACTGTTTGTTGAAATCTACCTTTGATGACACTGATTGGCATAGACTATGACAAAATAATATCGTTCCCTGTAATTACACACATTCAAATTTATTCACTCAAACTTAAATTGCAAACATATAATGTAACACAAATTGATGTAAAAATGATTTAGTATTCTACGGAAGTAGATGCCACCGCAATAAAGCGATAACATGAGATACTTATTTGATTGGATTTCAAATAAAACGTTTTGGTGATTAATTAGTGAATAAGCAATGCTGAGTTATGAGAATTTAAAAAAAGAAGCTTAAGGTAGCGGGACTATTGTTTGCATACTTGTTTTCATCTTCTCATTGTGACTAAATGACTACAAATAGACCCGGGAAAGTATATATTTTTAGAATCGCCAGATTTCAAGCTTTTCACAAGTGTATTTTGCATGCTGGTATCTGCATTCTACGACGCATTACTCAATCAAAGGTGAAAAATTACTTTTTCTGTAAAAAAAATAATTACGCATTTATGTTGGCGATAAGAAGTATTTTTTTCACTTTTCCTAGTTGTTCAATAGTCTGGTAAATTGAATGTGTCTGGTCAGTTTTATTCAAGCAACGCGTTTTAAAAAATAGTGTGCTGAATTTCAATTACTGTTTTAGTCGCATTGCCCCCAACTCAAACCAC